ATATTTAAGTGCGCTGTTGCCCTCAACCACACTTGGAGTGGGGGTCGTCCGTAGGTGGATTTTTGACACGGGTCTTGCCCCGTGTTGAGATTGCGCTGGAACCCCCATTCCCTATACTACTTTCCGGAATCCATTATAAACTGGATTCCGGATTCCAAGGCCTGGATTCCGGATTCCAAAGCCTAAAATTTCGTGGATTCCGGACCAAATGCCTGTTAACTGCTAATTGTTTGGCCGAATGTCAGTTAACTGTTAATATCATGCTCAACCTCAATCCAATAATTGCTTATAATTTTCAAGCGCTGGCAATAATATGAACCAAAATAATGAAATATCAATCAACTGTTAACTACTAATTGTAGGTTATTTAGTTCAGTTAACTTCTATTTTTGTCCAATTGTCAGTTTACTACTAACCCCATTGGCAATGACCTCAATAATGAAAGATTTAAGACATGCTATTTTAGTAGGGGGCTATTTCAGTTTTTTTAAACATTACTCTTATAGTTATATTAGTTACTTAGTTATTTGATAAGCTCTGGCATTTGTCTTAACTATTATTACTATTTTTACCTGATTTGGAACAATGGTTCGATAAAAGTTCGATCTTCTTTTAGTGTCGTTTCAACAGCATTTATATTTGAAAATTTTCAAAGTCATTTCTTCTTCAGTTAACATGTTGTGCATACAGTCCCATTTATTACTGGCCTACTAGTATAATAACCAAGGCATTTGTGTATTTTACGAGTCACTCTTCTAATAGCTAAAACTTCGAAGGAAAAAAAATGCTAAATATGAAATTTAAAGCGTTATTTATTTTTTTCTGTCCCGATAATTTTCGGCTTTAAGGATCTTTTCCAGATATCTTTTCCCCCGCAAGAAACGCATAATTGAAGTCGTAGAGGAAACTACTTTTCTATTCTTGTTTCGTGGCAATTTGTGAACATTTTTTGGGCATTGTTTTGAGATTATCAGTGATTATTAGCCCCTTTAATGAGCTTTACCTCGGAAACATTGGAGTAAGTAGCTCTTATGTAATCAGCTTGGGGATCTGTGATAGCCAGCGAGTTGGCAGCCATTCGCTTGAACCAATAGGAGTTGCATTAGAGTATAATATATTTGGCTAAGGATATTTTATGTCAATCAAATTTTAATTTTAGTTTATTAGATAGGATTATACACATGATTACGTTAAAATCTTGTCAAAAAAGCCGTTTTGAACTTATTTGATTAATAGATTTGTCAAACGATTAAGCTTGTTTTGAGGCAAGTTTTCACCAACTTGAAACTGAACTTGGTTGAGTTCAAAGCAGATGAAAAAATATTTGCTAAGATATGCTCCTTATAAACGCCGTCAAAAGTGGTCATGTTTGTCAGGTCAAGTATTTTCTCAGAGCTGGGATTGACGTGAACTTAGCAGACGAGAATGGCCAAACTGCTGTCATTTACTGCTGTTTCTTGGAAGATGACGAAAATAGATCGAAAATCTTCAAGCTCCTACTTAAGCAAGATGTTGAGGTCAACAACAAAGACAAACACGGTCGTTCTCTAATGTCTTGGATATCTTTTCTAGGACGGACCGAGATGTTTACATTTCTACTTGACCATTTTCACAGTCAAGTTGACTTTAACATTTTTGATGAAGAAGGGAATAGCTTAATCATGCTCGCAGTTTTGTCTGGTTGTCTCAAAATGGTGGCTTTGTTACTAGACGTCTTGAAGGAGTTTAGTCTCTTGGATCAAGTCAATCGTTTCAACTACAAAGGAATGTGCCCGTTGTTTATTGCGTTTCAAAGAAAAGACCACAAATGTGCGAAGCTGCTTGTGAAAGAAGGAAAAATGTCACTCTCGGGTGTCTTACAATACATTAAACATCCTGCTACCAGAAACCGTTATTTAGAGAATGTTAATTTACCAGCAAGAGGTCAGGGCTTCCATACATTCATGAGGGCAGCAAAACTTGACCCTAAAAACGCCCCAAAACTTCCAACAGAGCAAGAGCTGTTAGAATTCGTTTTTTCAGACCTAGAGGACTCGAGGAAGGCCGCGGAGTCACTAGAAAAGAGGTTGAAAGCAAGAACGCATTCTGCTCATCCTTCAAGGAAGAATTTAAACTTAGAATCAAAAGCTGCTATAAAAAGAAGGCCGTTGAGTTCTCAAGCAATACTAGATGACTCTGGAGGACACTCTAGTAGCTTAACAACCGTTTCTATGGAAACCGATACAAGTCGACCAAAAAGGACCTTTTCCCCATCTTTTACAGGCTTGTATGAGATCTATTCAACTCAGCTCTCAAACTCCTACAGACAAGGGATTTCTAATCACAAACCATCACCACCATCCACTCCCTCAGTACTACCAGACACAACCCCTTCCCGTAAGGAATCCGAGACTCGACAGAGACGAATAAGCCTTCAACGACATTCTTCTAATCTGTCCGAGAAGAGTACTAAAGCGTTTTCCTTGTCCAAAAGAAGTTCAAATTTGACTTCAAGCCATGTTTTGGCGCCAGTGGAAGAATCACCGTTTGATCGTCAGATGAGACTGAAGTATGCCAGATCTTCGAGGGCTACTAGTGTCCAGGTCGCAAAGTTCCCACAGATATCGGTGACAGCGAGAAGACGAAATCGGTCCACGACGATCAGCCAGTTGTGAAGAAGACGATAATAACTGCTATAAATCTAGCGTTCTGATTGGTTGTGAGCGCGTGCTTTATGAGAGCAGATAGCACGCGCGCGCACTTTCCGTTGCGTCACTCCTATCTAAAATTACGGTTATTGAAATTTGTATTTTATAAAAGAAATAAAAAACTTGCTGTGCTGTGTGAAGTTATAAAGCACTTGGGGATTGGCAGAACACTCGACAAGTGTCGAGAAGCACTTTGCTACCCGTCATGCTTCTCCAAACACTTCTCTCGTGTTCTGCCAACCCCCGCGTGCTTTATGACTGCACACAGCACGCGCGCGCGTTTTCTATTTCTTCATTCATACATAAAAAAAACTACATCTAATTGATATATTGCGTGGTTATTTTACCAAAAGGTAAAATAAGAAGCAGAGTTGCTATTGACAACCAGGTGAGAGCATAATACCAATTCAACAATATTTATTTATACCGATATAAATTTTTTCTAAATAAAATAGTTTTACGTCCTTCTTATTCTCAACACTGTTTAAATGCAGTCTAGAACACGACTGTACAATATGAGTAATACATACAATATAATACAGATTGGACACTATATATAATTCGTATTTTGTAGATCCAGAAATTATCCATACCCACCCCACAGAGGAATTTGGAAATTCCTAGAGGTGGGGGGTCAGAGAAAGAACAGAATTACAGAGTTAGAATGGAAGAAAATTGGAATTTCCGGAGGTATGGGGGTCTGAAAAAAATCCTCCATCGGGGGTATGGATAATTTTTGGAACTACACATTATTAATATAAATGCTTATCAAATTTCTATAATATTCTTTGTATAATTTCATTGTTTATTGAAAATTTTGAGAATGGAGTATTTTTGAGCAAGAAAATTCATGTCAAATCGTGAATACAAATTAGCATGATTCTGTATCCAATATTTACAGACTGGTTGACTGATATTTAATCTTTGCTCATCAATAATTCACAATTGGATAATTGCTTTTTGTGATGTAGAGAAAATATATTCAATCACTAAGTGAAAAATTAAAGAAGGGATGAAAAACAATTTTTTAAACTCAAATTTTTCTTTATCACAAGTTGGTTTTTAGGAAAACTGGAAAAAAACTTGTGATTGGAAAGAGAGAGAACAACATATCAAGCAAAATATGGAAACAAGGGCCAAGGATTGAAACAGCAGCTTGTAGTGCTATAGTAAAGAAGCTGGTTAAATATTGAATTTCTGTTATTCCTATCTTGATTACAAACTTAAGTAGTTATGAAAGAGTTAGTAATAAGTATAGTATCAAATGTGTTATATACACCTACTTGCAAGAACGTTGTCATACGAAAATAGAACATTAGTGATTTAGTGGGATAGGATTATTATATTAAAAAGCAAAAGAAGATCACGGAAGCTGAACTTTTTCTTTTGTCATTTAATGTATTCCTTTCTCACTAAAGTAGTAATGTTCTAATATCATATGACAACGTTCTTGCAAGTAGGTGTATATTGTTACTAAAGCATTTCAGTTTTCTTTGAAAACAGTATTTTTTTCAGCAGTCAGACAACCAATAGGAGCTTGCCAGCTAAAGACCAAGAGATTCATGGAAATGATTGAATGTTGCAGTGAAGGGAAATTTCCATAAAAAACAAAAGTCACATTCTAATATGATTTTAATGAACTATTTATCTTTATTGAAAAATATTAATTTCCTCACTGTCAAATTATTTGTTAATACATTTAGAAAAATAATTATTTAAGTGACATTCTTGATAGCTATGACAATATCTGTTCATAAGTTTGTTATCAATATATTTTAAATATATATTATAGATACTTCTACTAATGTTAAAAAGTCTTGGATAATTTCTCAACAAATTAATATTGTTATTTAAATATTGTAGTAGATTTTAATCAAGTATTTAATTGCCCTGTTTCACTATGACATCATTGCTTGTTTATGTGGGGGATAGAATTGCCAAATCCAATAGAAAATTCAACAAAATTTGCTCCTAGCGAAACAGTTTAATCTAAAATGGCCTGGTTTTCAGATACAATATGTGTTAATATGTACTAAAAAATATTCTGACCGTTTGCTGGCTATTCTACTTCTCTTCGTGGATTAATATGGGTTTTAGAAAGATTTTCGGTGAATTTCCATGCGTTGACCAGCTCCAACGACCATGATATTAAGTGTATGAATATATTAAGTGTATGAATAGAATGATATTTTATGATTTATAAAATCTGGGGCAACGATAATTTATTATAAAGGAAAGCTAGATTAAGGATATTCATATTCTATAAGCAATGAGGAATAAAGTCCTAGCTTCAGTATAATTTTTCCCCCATTTCAAATCAAATGTAATTCTCTAGTCACTACAATTTGTTTTCTTAATGGTTCTGCATGAAAAGAAAGACTCATGAATATGAATACAACTCAAACAGAATGTTATTCTCAAGAGAATGACTAGAGGTCTAAAATGGGAAAAAAATATGCTCAATCTAAGAATTTCTATTGATTTTTTGTGCTATTACTCCATATGTGAATATTTAATCCCAACATCCTCTTATCAGGGGATGAAAGGAGTCCATAATTTTGCCCATTTTTAAAAGGAAGTACAAGCACTCTGGGATAATAATACAATGTGTGTGAATACTATGCATTGCTACCCCACGAAGGAAAGACATAAAGAATGGATGGAATTAGGTTCCACAAACAGGAAGGTTGAAATCTCCAAAGATGTTCAGCTCAAAGAGTGTAGCAACAGATATGAAAGCAATATACAACAAGAGAAAGATGATTCCAAGACACTTATTAAGCCGCCACCTGTTGAGACTGATCAGTAACACTGTAACAAAAACAGTCCCAAATAGAGAAATTGAAGTGTATAGGATACTTCCGCTTATGACATGAACAGTACTGTTTAACTTCACCACTGTGGTTTTCAGAAGCCATGGAAAACCCAAGCAGAGGAGTATGTCAAAGACATTACTGCCAACAGTATTTGACACTGCCATGTCACCGTCACCTTGCCGAGCTACCAATAGGCTTGATATACCATCAGGGACGCTACTGCCTGCTGCCAGGAATGTCAGGCCCATGATGACGTCAGGGATTTCAAGGGTGTATCCTATGATTTCTACCATCCACACCAGAAGATAGGAAAGACCAGCAATCCATATCACAGACAACAAAAATGTTGCAAAGTACCAATTCTTCCAACGTGGCTTGCGGCAATCTGGGATTGTGATGTAGAAGATACATGAAATGGGAATAAAGATTATCCATAAAATCCCTTTGAAGAAGCCTCGTGGCATGGTAAAGGGGCTGTCGCTGTCTTCACAGCTGGTAAAGGAGACAACATCCACTTCCTTGCTCACCCCTTCATCACTCTCATAAATATCCGATCCTTTGAAACTGTCATCATCATCACCACTAATTAGTGCTTCTCTTTCTTCTCCTCTATTTCCGGACTTCACGACCGGTTCTTTATCAAATAACCCAGTAAAGAAATCTTCTAATCTGGTATTAAAGTACATGATTATAACATAAAAAATGTACATTATTACTAGTACCAGAGCTTCGTACCAGTAGACCTCCTTATCATAGGTTACTACAACTAGAGCGGCAATACTGATAAGGTAATAGATACAATCACGCATTAGAGGCCACCAAGAGAGCTTGAGTACACAACCAGAAAATATACCGCAAATGGCCACAATAAACAGGATATTGAATACCGCCGAGCCTACTATAGTTCCAAGTCCAATATCACCCTTTGTGATAAAAACTCCAATGACTGAAGTAAAGAATTCTGGAGCCGAGCTTCCTGCAGCCATAAACGTAGCTCCAGCCACATCGCTTTTAAGTTTAAGCCCTTCACAGATTCTTTCGAGAGAACTCACGAAGTAGTCATCACAGACTACAGCAAGGGCTCCAAACATGTATAAGGCGATGACAATGTGTGCTGCTACAGCTCCATGCTGACGCTCATATTGAGTCATGAAATCACTTGGGAAATCATCTATGGATGGTTTAACACAGTTCGCAACTCGCTGGCTTTCTGGTATATTTATATAAACCCTTGATAGTGACTCATTTACTTTTAGAGATCGTCTTTCTCTTTCTCCAAATTTCCCGAAGGAAGTGGAACTTTGCGAAGTCGAAAATCTACCAAACTTGAAAACCTTCACGTATAAAGTTGGGTATATGAAGCAAACAAAGACTGCGATGATGAAGAAGCGTAAAACGAGGGAAGATCTTGGGGCCATCTTGTGATAACCACACCGTGACGATAAAGGAATGACACGTTCTGACATGCAAACCGAGTTATTTTTAAAAAAACTTCGTGGGGGGAGGGGTATAGTACGTCACTAGTGAACACACATGCTACATAAATACTTACGTAATTTCATTTCATTTCTTTCATCAATAAAATAATAATATTTCCACAGAAAACTGAACTAGTAATCCATTTTAAGTATTATTTTTCAACCTATTTATATTTTTTTGCTTTAAAAATATAGTTTTTGGTTTGCCTTTTTTTGCTCCCTAGCAACACAATATGAGGTCGAACTTTTTTTTTTTCTCCATTTGCCAGTTCTTCTTGTCCTATTTGTAACCTAAGTGATAATTAGTCAAAACAGCTGCTGGTGGCTGGATGTGTTAAACAAAGAAAAAAAAAGAACTCGCGTTCTATTTTGCTTGGTTGTTTCAATAGCTAGTTCTTGGTAAACTGAAAATAACTCTTTCTTTCTTTCTCTTTTTGTGCTCGTTCTGGTGGGATACTAATCGTACGACATCTTATATTATTTGACTAAGAATTAAGCAATGAGACATTAGTATTTCAAATCAATATTAAAGGTAAATAGTTTCAAAGTCAATAGATTAGAAAATGACTAGGAGAGCATATAGCCTCCGTTGCAGCCGAACCAAACCCCGCAGAACGTCTGCAACGGAGGCTAGAGAGCATATTGGTTGCACAGGGTTTTTGTGTGAAATCAGTGTTGATTCTTACATATGCATCTATTAATTTGTTTTTTGGCCGAAAAACATTTCACAGGCTAGAAATTTGTTGGTTTTGTTTAAAGTTAAGGGTAGTGTAACACTTACTGCACTCGCCTTTCACTCAAGGGTCTCAGGTTTGATTCGTGGACTCCTTATCAGATGTGCGTAAGGTTGTAAGGTCCCTTGATTCGAGGGATTTAATTTCTCTAGGTTATATACATTTTTCCGATTTCCGCAAAACCTAAGTATTCCTACTCGATTTGTGAGTCACCCCAGAGGTTGTTTCAGGTTTCGATCTGTGAGTTAGCTATAGAGGTTGTTTCAGTATCGAACTGTATTCATACCATACTTACATTTTGACAAGAAAAATATAATACTCAAGAGAATGTGACACGATTTTACATATTTTGTTGGAAAACATGTTACACCCCAAATAACATCTAAAGGTTTATCTGTCAACAGTGGCAAGCAGGTAAGACTCCCCATGGGGTGTACTCGGGTGGGTAACATGACGGGGGGGGGGGGGGTCCGACGGAGCTTCGTATTGCAGCCCCCAAAAAATACTCAAACCTGAAATTTTACACCCAAAAAAATACATGGCATCCAAATTTCTGACCCAAAAAAAAAACCAAGACTTAAATACTTCAAAACTGATTTATTGAATTCAGTTTACGGAACTCACTCACGCCTTGTTGAAAAAAAGTCAAACAAATAATTTTCTGATACGAAAATCGAACTCAGAGTTGTAACAACCCAAAAAAATACGGGTTTTATTTTGAGACCTAAAAAAATACGTGGCTGGTCTCTTGACCCAAAAAAATACCGGAAACGAAAATTGTCAACCCAAAAAAATACGTCGGACCTCCCCGTCATGTTACCCACCCGAGTACACCCCTGGGGTCAGACTAAACTTCAAGAACACTCAAAAACCCAACGGAAAAATCATTACTGGGCTGCCTGTGGCAGCCCAGTTGTAAAATGCCTTTTTAGTCTCCTCGCGAAATGTGCATTCTTGCGCAAGAGTAGTACCCATATATGGATTTGAATGACGTGTTTATAGATTCTGGGCTCATAGATTGGCTTAGCAGCTGAGGATGTAATTCCGGGCTTTAGAAGTAATATAATTGTGCAGTAAAAGAAGACTTTCTAGGATTGTAATTCAGATATTTATTAGTATCAATGCTTTCAAATAGCGGTACATAATGAAGTTTAGATGTTAAATAAGCTCCAGCATACCAGCACATTGGGCAACCCAGTGCACGCTCCAAGAGCGTCTTGTTGCTTGGTAATATTTGTGTTCAAAATTCTACATGAACATTTTGAACATAAATATCAACATTCGATATCAATACTCGTGTCTATATTTGAGACTGTGAAATCGATACGTTCTAACCTATTTAAAACGTGTTTAAATGACATGCTAAAATATTTACAAAATGACTGATCAGAACAACCTATATCACGTGATTTGAGCTATCAATTGCCGTGCTAAAAACTTATCATTGAATGAACGGTGCAATGATTAGCCATTGTGAGGTCGAGCGAAAAAGTTGTGTCGAGTTGACATTGCTGTGCATTGTGGGGCTGTTTTAGGGGACGTATTTCCAAGGTGGCGGCTATTCAGTCCCACAATGCACTGCAATCTCAACTCGACCCAGTTTTTCGCTCGACCTCGCAATGGCTAATAAATAGATGGAGTTGAAGCTTGAAATCATTTTTTCAAGTCTTTCTTTACAGCGTTCGCTTAGATCGCTCATTCACTGTGATGATCAACACATCTATCATTATTTCACCACAGTTCTACCCATTCAATATTCATAGATAGATGGAGTGACGGACGTCGAAGTTCTTATGATGGATGTCACCTCATCTGGGCCGCCATGCAGGTTGACTTGAACAAAAAAATTAGCACTGTCAACCAACATGGCGGCCATGTTATTTGTCTTTTTATTGTCATGGAAAGGAATGCACCTATCAAGGTTTACAGTAGGCTTGCCAAAGAAGAGTCACTGAATTGATGACATCAACTGAACCAATCACAAGTGCGCTATACACTGCTCCACCAATCAGAATGCTTGGATACCGCAACGTCGTCGCGGCTCGACACATCCTAACGTGAATTGTTTCAGTGACACAAAAACTGCTCTAAGGTCTGAAGCAGGAAGTTTAGGATTAACCGTCACTTCTCTTAATCAATCTGGGCCCGGTTGTACGAAGCCTGGATAGCGCTATCCAGCGGATAAATCTTATCCAGTGGATAAGTCCATACTGTTGTCCAATAAATTCATCGTCCACTGGATAAGATTTATCCGTTGGATAGCGCTATCCAGGCTTCGTACAACCGGGCCCAGTTCTATAGAGCGTTTTCACGTGACGTCTCAGCGGCCATTATGGGGTACCAAAACAATACATTTTCTATACTCCGGGAAATGAACTCTATTTTTATGCAAATACTGTGCAGAAAGTTTCTATTTGTTTGGTTAACCAATATGGCTGCCTTGTCACGTGAGTGAAAATGCTCCATAGGCACAGTACATGCCTTAACATTGAAATGGCTTCCCATTGCCTTCGAGTAAATCCACCATTCACATCACGAAGATACTGCTACGATAAAAAATACGGCTAAGAATTTACATTTCCCACTTATGCGAAATCCGCTGACAGTAAAGCCAGACGTATTCGTTTCACAGACGTCACTTAACCGCACATTAAAATTAACCAATCAGCTCAATGGCATTTTATCACAACCATAAACAACGTCTTCTCCCAGTTCCTCTACAGTCTTGAAAAAGTCGGTAAAATCAACATACGGCTCGATCATTTCTTCATCGTTTGGGTTCGACCCTTTATTATCGCTTACCCCATGAGTAGACGAAGCAGGCATCACCGTTAGACTCCCATCTACAGGCTGAGTAGTTTCAAGTAACATTGCCTTCCGGGCCTTACCATCTCTTTCATGGAAGGGGCCTGGGTCGAATGCGTTGGGAGAGAGACCTGGTGAAGAGGGTTCTGAGCCTGATTGAGAAACCAAAGGTGCTACTGTGGTGGGGTTCGTAGGGGTCGAAGTAGTACTGGAAGGCGAGCCCTCATGGTTATTCGGCTGTGATATTGTTCTTTGAGGCATTGGGATCTTGAGGGTTGGGACAGATCCAGAGTTCTTTTTTGAAGGGTTGAAAGGGACTGAGACAGGAAGGACTCCTGGACTGGTCGTTTGGTAGGCTACAAACGGCAACATAAAAAAATACATTTTTAACGTTGGACGCAACTTACAAACCGAGCTCCCTTCATTCTTAAAGTGCTGTTGCGAGCCAAGTTGCACGTGAAGTTGTCCATTGTAATATCTCGCCATTTTGTGGCTATAACCGTGGCAAGAAGTATGACGGGGTGCTTTCCATTTACCCAGAAAAACCGGAAATTCCGGTTGGAAACAAATGGTATGTCAACCCGATTGGTACCATTTTTCAAAATTCGAAGTTTCCCGCTCTTTTCTTATCATTAGCGAATGAATTTTGAAACGGGCCGATTGGTTTAAATGGTAACCACCCCTGAGTTCTACTTTTCGCAACATTAAAACAACACTTGTACGCCACCTAACTCTGGACAACGGAGCCCTGTCAATCTCGCAAGTTGCTGTTGCGTTCCAAGTTGCACGAGTAATTGCCCTATTTCACTATGACGTCACTGCTTGTTTATGTGGGGGATAGAATCGCCAAATCCAATAGAAAATTCGATAAAATTTGCTCCCAGCGAAAAAGTTTAATCTAAAATGGCCTGGTTTTCAGATATAATATGTGTTAATATGTACTAAAAAATATTCTGAAAGTTTGCTGGCTATTCTACTTCTCTTCGTGGATTGATACGGGTTTTAGAACAATTTTCGGTGAATTTGCGTTGATTTGACCCCCTCCGACGACCATGATCCTTTACGTTTAAACAATAGATTGTTTTGATGTGACGTCATAGTGAAATAGGGCAATTGCCCAGTGCAAAATCTCGCAATTTTATGGCTACAACCATTGCAAGAAGTAAAACTGAGTTTTACTTTTCGCAATAAAATTGCGAGTTAATTGCTTAGTGTAACACCCCTCGTGCAACTCGTCTCGCAACGATTTGTGATATAGCCAATGATATTTCATCGCGCCTAAATTATTTATCGTCTCAGACTAAGGTGCAGATACACAATTGTAACATCGCCTGCAACGTTGCATGAAAAAGGCAATTTTTCGGGGGGGGGGGGGTCACACGATGTGATCAATGCATGCGACGCAGCAAATTTATTCTTGGTTGAGCCGCCATTTTGGTAGCCTCCTTAGGGAAACGTTGTGTGACAGACACTAAGAACGTCTGTGTACGAGGCTGCCATTTTGATTGACTTGGCCTTAATCCAAGACTAATTCGAGTCTAAATACTGAGTCACTAACTCACCTGGGCCAGATGGTCGAGTACTACTCCTTGGACTACTTAAAGTGCAGGCTACCTCTTCGTCAAAATTACGAATAAGAATCGTCATATCATCTCTTTTCTGGCAAGTAGTAGGCTGTTGCATGAAGGCATCGTGATGGTAGCGTCCTACCTTGTCTACCACGGCTTGCGCAACTCCATTCAAAGTGCTCTGGCAAAGAAGCTCGGTAGCAACGACGTAGACAATGTCTGAATTGACCGTTGATGTACCAGTTGCTTCTTCTAGACATTTGTACACTCCATCTGACATCAGGATTAATGCGTAGAAAGTCTTGTCTATTGGTATACCATCTGATATATATGGGTCAGCTATTACGGGCTCCTCGGCGGCGGTACTATGGGTAGAAATCAAAATAGGGCAGATCAATAAAGATGCTGGTTTGGATGGTAATGACAATGGTGGTGGTGGTGGTGATGATGATGTGGCGATGATGATGATGATTGATCATATTGATCATGATTTTAATGATGATGATAATAGTGGTGGTGCTGCTCCTGCTGATGATGCTGACGATGGTGATGATGTTGATGGTGATGATGGTGTTGCTGATGTTGGCAATGATGGTGGCGGCAATGACGATGGTGATGATGTTGATGATGATTGCAATGGTGATGATTGTGATGGTGATTATAGTGGTGGACATGGTGACAGGAATGCTTTTAAAGATGACAGCATCATGATATGGTTTTTGACAGTAATGATCGATCATCATCACCACTATCATCTTCATTGTCATCAACATCATCACCACTATCATCATCACCAACATCATCATTATTATCATCACCACTATCATCTTCATCATCATCACCATCACCATCATCACCACTATCATCTTCATCACCATCATCATCAACATATAATCACTATTACCACTAGTACCTCAAAATATCAAAGTCCTTGTACCCTCCCTTGACACAATAATCTCCAATACTCCTGGTGTTTTCTTGGTTTCCTATTCTTTTATTACGCTGTATCTTGACGATATCCAAACCAAGCCGAGCCAGTCTTAGTAACTCTTCTTCATTCTGTGTATCATGATCGACACTCAACTAAAGGACAAAATTTTGTTTCAAAATAATTAGATACAATCACAGGTAGCCCAAGCTTGGTTTCTGTGGTGTCTGCCCCACCAGAAAAAAATCTTAAAACGGGCTAAATTCAAAAAATAACCACACAGAGCGAAATAGGTGCTATTTCTCAACGATCAGGTAAAATTTTGAGGCTTTATTTCATGTTTCAATGATTTTATTGAAATTTTTGATGAATCCCCATACATTTCCTTATAACATGACACCACAGAAACCAAGCTTGGGCTACCTGTGATACAATATACTATGACACAGGGTATAGGTGATGTTTGGCAATTAGCATCATTGCCATTGGACCAATCACAGCATGTAGAATCACTTTTTGTCCAATACTGCTCAGGTGTTTGGCTTATGCAAGACTATACTATTAAAGCCCCGTTTACACTGGCAATTTTTGCTGCGATTTTTGTGGCAATTTTTGGAAATATGAAATCTTTTGTCTCATCCTTCATAAGAGACATTCGTCTAGGAAAATCTTGGTATCCTGGAAAAAACTTTACAAGTAAATTCTTTACCATTATTTATTATATATTTATTTATTAAGATCACCGTTTGTCTTACTCTTGATACAAAGGCACAGCTACCTTTCAAAATGGCACAGGGAACTGTTAAAGGGACTATTCTTAACATAAACGGAATACTTTGTTTTTGCATACCTGCTCAACTTGTAAAGAGGTCCCATCCACTTGCCTACACAACACAGCCCTAGAGTCCCCGGCATTTGCAACATACAGTTTGTTCTTAAAGATCAAGGCTATTACTGCCGTAGTTCCCCCATTAATTTTGTCATTTAGTTCTTGTATGCGTTCTACTTGTTCAGGGTAGTTTTGGAATGCTTCGTAGGAGCTTACACCCTGCAAAATAAATGAATGACATAAAGACAAAATAAATATATCAATAAAAAATTCTTAAATTGGTATTTTATTTATTAGATGTGTATAAAAAATAAAAAATAAAATAACTTTGTTTATAGAGGATAACACTTGACAGTAATTCAACTGATAAACTTGTGGTCCTCTGTTAACGTCTCTAGTTAATTAGGGATGGGACCGCCATTAACGTGATCATACAAGCCACTTGAAGGTCTAACCATTTGCAGATGTAATCACAAAGGCAGCACCTTCTCCTCAGACCCTGAGTGTTGGTCCGGCCAAGGCTTGAACAACGACCTCCCGCACAACAGTCTGACCGATGCTCTTACCAACTGAGCTAACCGGGTGGCGGTTATATGCAATCTCTTTTCAGGTACCACTGAGATGGAGTTAGAGAGGGGTCGATTAAGTGCTTAGATGATGTAAGCCTTGCATCAGGATACTGGACCATGGGCAGAAATAGAAAATACAACCCACTCATGCAGCCAATCAGAATGCACAAATACTTGATCCGAAAAAAAAAATTCATAATTTTTTTTTCTGTAGAACAAATTACAGACCTAATCGGCTAACGTGTTGCTATGTACGTTACCACCCAATTCAAACCTTCTGGGAATAGAAGCGTTTGTCGCTAAGTATTCAACTGTGAAACCAAAATATAACGAACAATGAAACTTAGTCCCATGTGGTTTGAATTGGGCGGAAACGTACATAGCAACACGTTAGCCGATTAGGTCTTTACAGACCATGAACACCTCCATTTGCTTGGTCTATATATCATACTTTGCTTCTTGCTTTCCGCCCAGACGATGTTTTTTAGAACATGTCTGTCATGGAATAGGCTTATGATTATTTTAACAAATTTTAAAATTAAAAGTGTATACTGCAAATCACTTACTTCTGGAATTTGCAACTGTAATTCAGTTTTTTCAGCAAGAGCATCATCAATAGATTGAAAGAATCCTTTTTCTACAGAAATAAAAGCTTGTCGAAGAAGAACTTGGACTTGTTCATCAGACATGTCATCTGAAAAACACAAGGAAATCACATTTTAAAATTTCAGTGCTGTGTAGGTTCACCAAAATTTGTGCACATGCAAAATCTTGTGGAAAGCTTTAAGTGACTATGTACTATTATATCATGATGGTCATAACACATAGCAGGAATAACAGTACCGATGGAACTGGATTCCCAAACTTCAGTTACAAAACCACCAAGCCACCCGGCTAGCTCAGTTGGTAAGAGCATCGGTCTGTTGTGAGGGAGGTCGTGGTTCAAGCCTCGGCTGGACCAACACTCAGGGTCTTAAAATAACTGAGTAGAAGGTGCTGCCTTTGCAATAAAATCTGCAAATGGTTGGACCTTCAAGTCTTCTTGGACTTAAAACTGTAGGCCCTGTCTCCCAACATTTCCTAACCTACAGTAATGAGGGACATAAAAGAACCTGTTGAATTATTCGTATAAGAGTAGGGGATTGTCTCCCATTTCAACAGCCTATGTACTAACAAATCACTCATGATTGTAAGCTGCAAGGCGGCTACTAGCACCTTAATATGCAGCCCGTAAAGTCCTCCACTGGTCATGATTGTGAAGCGCATTGAGACCATGTGAAATGCGCTATATAAGAACCCCATTATTATTATTATATTATTATTATTTTGCTTGGCAGAGAAAAATGGTGCTTTGCTTATCATTTCATTGCTTCCGGTGCCTAAAGCATTGTAGTTCATTAATTCATTAGGATTCTTTAATTATGACATTCGGCAAATCATGATGATATCTAACTTCTTATTGGCTGTGTCATTACCTGTCAGTTGCCCTAGCAGCAGTTCAGCAGGAAGCCTTTGAACAGCAAAATCTGCAGCTCTTGGTCCATCATGTCCATCAAACACTCCATACAAACACGTCCCATCGACATTAAAATGAAAGCTTCTGTCTTCAAACTCATGTTCTTCTCTTCTTCCTCCATCTTCTCGGTACCTCTGATTGGTTAAAAAACCAACACCAGATGCCTTGCACACAGATAACGCATCTGTCCATGTTTCTGTTGGACTCTGGGACTGGAAGAAAAGACAGGAGAGAAAGTGTATGGAAGAAGAGTTAAGAACATCTCAAAAAGCCTATTAGGGGACACCCATTTCCTCCCTCTGAATTTCACAACTGCCATTGTTACAATTTTGGAACGTTTTCATGTTCCTTGTGGAACTTTTACTCCTAAAAGAGCCTTGTTGTTGTCAGTGATTCATCAGAGCAGAGTTTGTGGCTCTCGTGTTACGGTTTCAAGGCAAAGTGCTTGTCAGAATTTACCAGTAACAGGGCATATTTCTTGACAGTGAGAGCCTCAAAACCTGCAAGTGTATGTGTTTAGTATTAACATACTACGGCAGTATGGTTATCTAAGGAGCAGAAGGTATATTTTAACACAACCAAAGTGAACTTAGATAATTTTAGTAGTGAGAAAGATGCCTTCTCGATATGAAGATACGATGTCTTCAAATCGATACAAACGATAGCAGATCTGAGCTCGGAGGTAACTAGAATCAGCATTATTACTAATATGACTGTACATTGACTAACGCTTTTAAGCCTGATATAAATAAAATAACAAAAATTGTCCATTCTTGTTTTAACCATGATCAAAATATCCACATCGAAGGTTGACAAATAAGCGCCAAAATTCGTTTTTATGCAATCACAAATAACCATAACACCCAGACCTAGAATAGGTATTGATATCGATATAAATACTTACATGTAAAGAATGTCTTTTACTTGTCATCTTTTAATCATTTTTTTATTCCAATCTTTCTCCTCACACTTCTTTCTGTTTTTCCGCCATCAAAGGCTTGGACAGTGTGTTATTAGCCTCGTTATCATGTAGTAATCCACATTAACCCGGGGGTAGGGAGGGAGCGGATTTGAGGACCTTTCATTCAGAGTGAGAAATGTGTGTTAAAAAGAGGGCCCTAAAAGGGGGCCTTGAAATAACTGATGGCTTTAGAGCCTTAAAAAGATAAACAGTTATTTTTTTCTTAAACCAATCAGAATGCGCATTCTGTCATCAAATACTTTTATTACTTAGTTTTATTGTAGACAAACAGGAAGTGACGCAGGTTGTATAACATGATTTGCGTGACCTTCCGTTCCGTGCCCGAAAAAGGCTTCAAACTTGGCCGAGACTATTGTTATCCTTACGTTAAATTGAAAAATAAGTAAAATGAGCAATCCCGCAAAAATGTCGACGTTCCGCATCTGTCTGAAAAAATCTTTTTTAGTCTTTTTTTAGTAAAAAGATCTATGAGTCATTATATATTATGTCGATATTGTTCAGCTTTTAGTTACTGTTGAATTTAACACACTTCTCGTCTTGCTGATAGGAATGTTTTATAAATAAACTTTTAAAGAAACATCTTCAAACAATTTCCCATCCAATTTCCCATCCTTTAGTGTCATAGGATAGTTCCTCCCTAACTCCTATTATGTCAATGACTAGATTACGCCTGAGAAAGATACTTTATCAATCATCGAATCGAATTAACTTATAATATGATTATCGCTCATCTCAAAAGGTTTATTTTTATTGAGATTAACGAGAACATTTGCCCTGTCAGCAACTGAAAATGTCTCAATTTTCTCTCATAATGTTTTCATTTCATAAAGAAAATTATGATACGAAAATACGAATCAAGGTGTTTTCGATTCTGTCAGCGGTGGTGCTCATGGTTTTTAGGAGTCGAATAAGGGCGTGTCCAACGTGGCCACTTAGCAAGATTATTTTGTTTGCATAATCAAAAAGAATCATAATAAGCATATGCAATAATGGCTCAAATAAGAGTGGAATTATTCTTTAAGAAAGAAGGGAAAAGAAAGAAATAGTTTATGATCTCAATGGCGAAAAGAACTGAAGAAGAAGAAGAAGAAAAAGAAGAGGAAAAGGAAAGATAGAAGAAAATAAGTAGCTGACACAAAATTTTATTAACCCTGTAAAAATTTAAAAACTTTGCTTCATAAATTTTTTTTCCCACGTACTCCAAAAAGGTTGTCTCTCTGACACAGATGTAATTTTTATATTCTAATTTCTTATATGGTCACGTGAAACAGCTTCTCAACTGAACAGTTAAAGAATAGGATGTATTATTCACGACCAACTCATTCAAATTATGCAATCTTTTCTTTAGTTTCCTTTTCCTTAGCCAAAAGTACATCATACTGAAAGCATCCATCTCTATGAGCGGAAATACAGCCGAAACAAGCTTCTCATACCATACTAAATATCACCAAATCACACGAGCCGTTCTTAGGAGGTTTAACAAGGTTAACCAATAGGAAAGGGCGTTGTATTCGAGGTCTACATACCAAGAAAGAGTGACGTAACGGGTTCGCCGGGGTGAGGCTGCTAAGCCAGCTCTTTGCCAAGGACTTGTCGGCACTAGGGCTTTCCTACCAAACAAGCTTGGATTCTTACCAATTTTCTCCTAAAAACAACCTTCCAAGAAGCCCTTATCAACACAAATTAGAACTACAAGGTCTTGTTTTTCGTGTTGGTGGGTCAAATCGCGTTTAAACGCGTCTAAAAAGCCATGGAGAACGAAATGAAATACTTGGTCGTTGACCGTGCGGCCATCTCGGATCCCGTAGCTCTTGCAGAATGGAGTTCTAAAAAACTTGTGTGGATTCCCGACGACAAAGAGGGATTTTTACCTGCTAGTATTAAGGAGGAGAAAGGGGAAGAGTATGTTGTGGCGTTAGATGGAGGGAAGAGAAGAAATGTGAATAAAGATGACATTCAGAGGATGAACCCACCCAAGTTCGAAAAAGTTGAAGACATGGCTGATCTGACTTGTTTGAACGAAGCCAGCGTCTTACACAACCTTAAAGATCGTTATTACAGTGGCTTGATCTATGTAAGTAAAGAATATAGTCTTCATTTTTCATTAGGTAATATTTGAATCCATGTCTACCCGGAAAAGATTGCAGAACTTTGAAATGTTGGGTCTAAAATCACCGGAAGTCTGTGGATGATTTTTACTCGCGATTGACTTATCTTTGTAGTAAAGCCAGCTGATTTTGAACCAATTATGATGTCTTTTTATAATTTTTTWAATTATGATAGACCTATTCAGGGTTGTTCTGTGTGGTGGTGAATCCCTACAAGCGTTTACCGATTTATACAGACAAGGTTATTGATATGTACCGTGGAAAGAAAAGGCACGAAGTACCACCACATATCTACGCCATTACTGATACAGCTTACAGGAGCATGTTGCAAGGTATGATTCTATAACCTTTTTAAAAACTTTTTCTACTACTCTGATTGCTATAAAAATCAACTGAGCCATAGATGATGGGTTGTTTTCCTAGTGGCTCTACTAAAATCACTGTTTTAGGTTCTAAGGTAGTGTTTTTTTGGAATATAATAAAGGAAGGGCGAATATATTTACTATGGTAATAAATTAGATGGCCGCACGAAACGGTCGCATTTCTGTGCAGTGATCTGTGAGGAAACCCTTGAAGACCTCGATTTAGTATTGTTCACAGCATTCTTGTCTCTTTTGATTCCGTGATCAATGCTTTTTAAGCACTTCAAGATTTAGGATCGCTCAGTGACGTCTTGCAGTGGATAGGCATTACAATTATGAGTCATTTTGCATAAATATATATCGTGTGTCTAAACCATTATCCATCACAAACCGATCTACAACAATATCATTCTGAACAATTAAGACCTAGACCTCCAAATGTTTTTCAATATGGCTTTAACAATGGTTTCTCAAACAATTTTTTGTGTGTTGAATCTAAATGCTGCACCCACCCCTTTGTAGATAAATATTGTTTACTTTGCTCAAGGGAGCTTACTTTGCATCCTGATTATCACTAGAAAGTCTTGGTATTTTTTCCATCAACACTAAAGGTCATTGAATACACACAGCTCTTACTTTGCCGACAAATACTAATTCCATCCCTCTGTGATTTTGTCAATCATTATTCAAATGTACAGCCAGCTTGAGCATAATTTGTTATGATTAGCTGGAGTGTTGTCCTAATAACAATTGTTTATACAACATAGATGTACTATAATTATTCATTTTGCGTAAAGATTGTTCTATCTTGTTCCCATCTGTTAAGATTTTCACTCTTGGAGAGCTAGACTTTAATGTAGTTATAAAATATTCTGTGAGCTGAAACATTAAACATGGAAGTATTGCCTGCCACAATCACAATATGCTGTTTTTTGTTCAAATCAGTTCACTTATGAGCTAGATTTTTTGCTATCAGTAGTACAAAAGTATGATTAATCCCTTCCACCAATTTTTATATGCAATGATATAATCACCTATGGACAGCAAATTTGAAACTCTTCAAAAAAGCAATTCCTGAATTTCCAAGAAGCAATACTGTTGAAGGAATTGTTTATGGTTTACTAAAAGATAACACTTGTCCATAGAAGTATTGTCTGTGCTTGAAGTAATTTCAGGCATCTGGGTTCACCCCACATGTCATCAATTAGTTACAGGGTCATAAAACTATGCTACAGTCTTAGAAATATTAGGCTTTCTTGTAGAGCACCGTCAGCCAGTTTGCACAGCCACAAAATATGAGTAATAGATCGTAATCATACAGATTTTTTTGAAAGTACGAAAGACTAGCTAATGAAAAATCCAGTATTTTACTTCTTCATTGATATAAAAATTCAAATACATAAGTAAGAGTCTATTGTTTTGCATTTTCTTGTAAAAAAAAAAAAGATAAAAAGTGCAATTAAATACCATGTACCAAAAATTATAGTGTCTTATAACTATAAAAACAAATTATGGAGAAAATATGGAAACAAATATCCAGGATGATTTGTGGCTCCAATTTTTCATAAGTTGCTGTATATTATTAGCTATATTTATAATTCATAGGTGTAGTTTTAATGTTAACAGTGTTTTATTTAGTCTAATTCTGGATACCTGTGGTGATACAACTTTATCTGTAATATTCATGAATAATATCAAAAATATGAATAACTTTCAATATGGATTTTTTAGATTTGTCAAAATGTTGGAGCTCTTTTTAGTAATTTTTATTTTGAAATATTTTTTGATCAGATTCAGTTCATTAAACAAATATTTAAAGAAACCATTTCTCTCTAAAATCTATCTATATTTTAGAGGTTTTTTAGGGTTTTATCCCAAGAACTCAATCTATATTTGATGCTAATATCCACATATATTACTGAGCTGTATTCAGTACTGTTAGGACTTAAATTCATATACATGTATAGACTTTGTTTAATCATAACTTACCTCTGTCAATATTAATAACCCATGTTTGATCACGTCCCTCTCCCAGGGAGAATCTAAAAATCAAATTAGAGCAATTAAAACCCCAGAAACTTAAAAAAAGAAGGCCAAGCACTTATTTAAATGACAACAGAATAATCTTTAGAGGGCAGCTGCTTATGGTTTTTGTAATACTGCAGTTTTAGTATTTATGTAGTCTACAGAATATAAGTCACAAAAATGATTCTATAAAAAACTTTTTTTATTTTTCTCAAAATTTTTTTTTGCAATAAATATCTGTAATGGAAAGTTAAAGTATTGTTGTTTTCCTGGGCTGCAGACCACAATAAAAGTGTTATTAAAGCAAATAATGTTTAATATGATACTTTGTTAAATGAATGTGAATTTGTGCCAGACATATAAAGATAAGTAGAGTATATTACACCTTGGCACAAAGATATGAAGTTTATCTTCTAGTGAAAGATTGTGGAGTGAAATGGGGGGGGGAGGGGGGGCATGAAGTTATATCTTGTGAAGTTGTCATCAGAGGAGGGGGAAGATGCTTTTTCTATCTTCTATGTTGTCTCTTCCACCAACACACAGATAAGCAGGCCTATTGGCAGAACAATCAACAGTTGTTATTAAGAAACTCTTGGCAACACAATTTTTCCTAAATAGTCTCTTTCACAGTTCCCTGCACCATCTTGAATGGTAGCCAAGCCTTTGCATCAAAGTGATATGAATGGTGAGATTGCAATGATGGAGACCTTTTTTAATACCTTGGAGAATTATTCACATGTCCCTATCATTGCAATCTCACCGTTTGTCTCGCTTCAATGCAAAGGTTTAGCAACCAAGATGGTGCAGGGAACTGTGAAGGGACTATTGAGAAACTACATCAAACTGGCGCATATTATCAAAATTAGTTTCAAGATAAATAAAGGTTTATTTTTTTGAAACATTATTTTATAATAAAGTATGTTATTTATGAAACTTTTCGAAATTAATTCCTTAAGATTTTTTAATAATTTAAAATATTTATATGTTCTAAATATAGAAGGATATACATATACAGTCAACTGTTATTAGCACAGATATCATCACATCATCATGACCTTTACTTCATGTCCGTGGTGGGAATAATTTGTTACGGTCGTTTCTTTGTCTATTTTTTTTCTTCTGTATTTTTGTTCCTGTCCAAAATAGCGATGTGTCGGTATAATGTCAGGGTGTCTGCAAGATGAGAGTTGAATGTGTATAAAGTTGAAGCATGTTATGTACCAGTGCATTATACAATATGTAGACAAAAAAACATTTTAGGTCAACGTATGGCTATGATAATAAAATATTAACTTGGGGTTTCAATTTTAAACCCTTTTATAGATAAGATATCTTTATCTTGTATATTAATAGTTTAATCTTGATATGTAGCATTCTATTTTTAGAGCAAATATTCAAAATTATTAAAAGATCATAACGAATTAGTTTGTTTCAAAAAAAACCTCATTTATCTTGAAACTAAATTTAATAATCTGTGCTGTTTAGATGTAGTTTATTTATTTATTTTAACAATATTTATACAGGGATGTCTCGTTTAGTAGAATTAGTTTAAAGAGAGCCCTGTTAAAACAAAAASACAAAAGAAATATATCCATTAACACTAATTAGGAATAATACAAATAATGAAATACAATATATAAGAAGTTAGCATGGTTGAAGTTTTCCAATTTAGGAAAGATTGTTTTGAATGACTTAAGTTGGTGGTTCCAGTCGATTTACTGTAGATAACCTCTGGCCTTGCGAGTGTCTAGTATTATTTTTGTAACTACATTACTAAGTGGATTACAGATAACATCCATGTGCAATCCATATCTCTTTATATGGTCATTGCTAATAGTCCTCTTACTATGCCCATTTATAATCATCACTATTCTTACTTCAAATATTTTGAATATTAAGCTCATGAGGTCATCAACCATTCATGTGTTAATTTTTAGACTTTGAGTGATATTTTTCAGCATGGTCATTGTCATAAAGGAGAGATTCAAGCAATTCTAATCTGTTTTCTGAATCACTTCTTTGGGGTTAATATACTTTATTTTTTATTGCTTAATTGTTGCCACACTCCTAGAAGAATGTTTTTAGTTTTGCTATAAACTTATATATAGTTTATGACACAAACTTAAGTGTATAGTAAACAGATTTTTGTAAGGAGAGACCTAAATATGGTAATACCTGCGTGTAAGAATATAATGTTACATCTTGGTGTCATGCAAGGCTCACAAGGCTTTTTAAGCATCTTATTTTAACRTTTTATTTATAAGCTTTTGTTTATTTAATCACAAAATTCTGAAAGAATATTTAGAAATGTTCCAAAAATAATTAAAAAAAAACTTTTCTCAAGAGAAAAAATACATTACTTCGCATTCTATAAATAAAAAGATATGAACATTTGTAAATATTACTCTTCTTTGTAGACATTTTAGATAAAATTGATATAACTTCTAAAATTATTTATATCTATTTCTTGTTATTGTCATTATTAATATTGATTTGTCATTCATATTTTTGTAAGAATTCATTTTTAATGTACATAGTTAATTTGATAATATAAAAATATTCAAATGAGATTCAAAATTTGAACCAAAATTATTCTATAAGAGTGGCTCAATCAAAGCAAAAAAGCTATTTTACAAGCTTTATTCACAGAAATGAAACCTAAAGTCAAATTTATAAAAAAATAGACAAAATAGCATTAAGTTTAGAAAAAAATTCCAACTTCCCAATAAGACAGATATTTACAGTGTTCAAGAATAAGAAAATATGAAACAGCTGAAACAAGTTTAAGAATGAAGTACATAGAAATATCACCCAGCTTGTTCTTTTGAAATTGAACTCTGGTGTAATGGTACTTTAGTGGTTTTTTGACTAATACAGTTAAGCATATGTTGCCTGGCTTGAGATGAGTTTCCTGTTCTCATGGGGCTCTTATTCAATCATTAAAAACTGCTTCAAAAGAACACATGTTGAGCAAGCATGACTTCAACATTCTAGTACCTTCTATCGCCTATTAATAAAAACGGTTTCCTTTGAAAAACCTTTTTCATCATTCCTTGTGGGTTTTTCATCCCATTTCTAATCTATTTAGCTGCTTTTTGCATATTTTTTTGAGCTTTTGTAATGCCATATGTATAAGCCGGCACATACCGATGGAATTTGCCAGAAATGTTTGTTATCTTAATATGTCTAGCATTTTGTTGATGTTAATTGTTTCAGCTTTAGTATCGACTTTCACCTTTACCGTAAAGGTCAAAATTATCCATGTTGAAATAGAAAGAAAAAGATTACCTCATGAAAAGCTGAAGATTTCAGTTTTAATTTGATAATCATAAAAAAATGAATAGAAATTTTTTTAAAAATGTCAAAAAAATTTGTTTTAACTGTTTTCTTTTACAATGAAATTATGTAATTAAAATAATTTAGTACATGTTTGTTTCTTTTGTTTTCAATTCATTTTCACAGTTAAAACAGCTATTTTTTTAAACTTAACAGTTTTTATTTATTTTTTAAAATTTTTCATTAACGAAATTACTAAAATGCATTGTTATGATTATTTATACCTTTTTAAAATTCTATTTGTAGATCGAGAAAATCAGTCCATTTTGTGCACGTAAGTATTGTTTTTGCATGAATTTTTTTAATGTCCCAACTATTTTTTGTCATAATGGGGGTGTCCCCTCGGAAAAACAGGGAATACGCCTTTGAAGAGGTGCTTATAATTGAATAGCAAGAATACAGCTAACTCACAGATCCAACCCTGAAACAACTTCTGGGCTGATCTAAGTCAGGGCATG